CCCCCCCCCGCAACTTGAAGGATGGAATTGGAGTGATTCCAGCGGAGGGCAACAAAAATGGTTAGGGGGCTGGGGCACGTGGCTGATGAAGACAGGCTGAGGGAACTGGGCTTTCTTCAGTCTGGAGAAGAGAAGACAGAGGGGGAATTTAATAGTAACCTCCAACTACCTGAAGGGTGGTTCCCAAGAGCATGGAGCTAGACCACTGTTTCCCAACTGGCGTGCCATCAGACACGTCCAGGTGTGCCACAGCATTTTGGGCTGAAGCCATGCCCCCCATCTGCTGCTGCTGAGGTCAGACAGATGGGGAGCATGGCTCCAGCCCAAAATACTGTCTGGCTGGCTGCACAGCACCCCTCCCTACTGCTTCTGCGTCCGGTGTGCTGTGGGGAAAAAAGGTTGAGAAATGCTGAGCTAGATTGTTCTCAGCGGTGGCAGATGACAGAACGAGGAGTAATGGTTTCAAGTTGCAGCAGCGGAAGTTTAGGTTAGATATTGGGAAAAACTGTCTCACTAGGAGGGTAGTAAAGCACTGGACCAGATTACCCAGACAGGTAGTGGAATCTCCATCCTTTGAGGTTTTTAAGACTTGGCTAGACACAGCCTTGGCTGGGATGATCTAGTTGGGGATGGTCCCGCTTTGAGCAGGAGGTTGGACTAGATGACCTCCTGAGGTCCCTTCTAACCCTGATTTTCTGTCATTCTATGAATTGGTATCCAGAAAACCATCATCCTTCAATTATCTTTTTAAAGAAAAATATGTAGACTTGTCTTTCCACGAGGACTCCAAAACAGTCCCCAGTTGTTGTGGCTGATATAGCTGCTGCTTTAAGAGCAACAGCCAGGGTGAGCATAGCACATGTGCCAGTAGCAATAGTTAAGCTGGGACTTGGAGTTCCCATCCTGCCAAAGAGTGTTACTTCTGCCCCCACCCTCAGAACCTGGGTTTTCCCTACTCGTCTCCCCTGCTGTCATATCCTGTGCCCCTCTTCCTCCCCCAGTCTTGGAGTCG